TTTACTTTCTTCTGAACTATTATTGTGCCCATGATTGTGCTATGCGTATCTATGATAAGTGAAAAGAACACTTAGGTGATCTTCAATAGATAAAAACAGAGATATATTTATTCTATTCCCTGACACATCACCAGAGTTAACACGGCTTTCTCAGCACTAACAAACATTATGAAATTAGCACTAATTTGGGCCTTATATCTGTATTACAAACTGGTTTACATGCAATAAATTAATGAATGTTTTTAAGGGATTTTTCTTGAGCTTCACATCAGATGGGAAATAAGGTGTAGAAGCTTCCTGCCAGAGGCATCCTCATTGTGGTGGCTATAATAAGGGTGTGCCAGAGATCAAATTAGTGCCCTAATGGGCTGGAGTTCAGCCCCGTGACCAAGGGGACATTGTGCACATTAACCATGGGCGTGTGCGGAGGCGAAAGGCTCTTGTCAAGATATTTATGGGTATTGAAAACCACAGCCACCAGTGCCTTGAGTGAAGATAGGTTTTATCCTAACCTTCTTCCTCTCCCTTTCACATCATAAAACTGCCCTGCAAATTAGGTTTTCAGAAAGTTATTTAATAATACAGAAAGCTATGCTGCCACTCTGAATGTGCAGTAATTGCCTGTGGGTAGGCACTTGTGTTTACAGCTGGCGCATTCTAAGTCTTGGAAGCTATTTCTCTATTTGCTAGACTTCAAAGAAAGTATTGCTTGCTATTTTTCATGATACCTAGCACTGGGATCTGACCAGCATAATGAAATGCTGACCAAAGGTAAAAGTATGAATTTCTTTTCTGTACTTCTTTTCTTCACAAAATTTAACACACAGTTTCTCTAGAATTAGAGTAAAAAGAAAAGTGAAAAGTTTGTATACATTTATAGAAATGAAAAACCTGTCATAGACAAGTTCATAAATAGTGGCAGTGTATATTTCTAAGGTAATTAAAAATATTGGAAATTGCCCTGTACTTCCAAGAACAATAAAACGACTTATCCAAAACACAATAGAAATTAATATCAAATTTTTATCAAATCCTTTCAATCTACAAGTTTCTTTCCCCATGAAGTTTATTTACCAAAACCACCTTATTTTTAAAGAATGAAGTTTAAAAGTAAAGACAAAACAAAATTAGAATTGAATTTTCACATCGAGCTAGAGGGAGAAAACTATGCATATATTTAATGTTTTTGTACAGTTTGATCTTGGAATTACATGGATATTTCTCTTGCAAACTTGGATTTCACCATTAACACTTTTTCATTTCAGGATCATTAGCTGCATCAATAATAATTACTTTAAAAATATCATGGTCTTGAACATTTTCTGAGGATCTGACACAGCAGTTTCAGGAATATCTTGTGTGAACTAATCTATAGCTCATAATCTTTGACAGAAATTACAAAACCTCCTCAAAAAAATGTGACAAGCAATAATCCAAATCTTTAATGTTTCATGTTTGTTCTGTAGATCCTCAATTCACTGGATCAATGAAAATTTTGTCCAAAATCTCCCAAGGAGCCTCTTCAATTTAACACAAAACTGAGCAACTTCAGAGTGTTAAAAGTCTTATATAAAAATCTGTCTTAACCAGCTTGTCTGAATTTTTTGTCTTTGAAATTATTTTATTCCATTCCATATACTAAAATGAGACTGTAGAATAATCAAAATCTGCCCATTGATTTCTGCTTCCTTCTGGTCCATCACCAGAAGCTGAAGACACTGGAACAGCTGCATCAACACAAAAGTATCCAATATGATGCTGGATAAAGCACAGCAATTGCTCTTTTGTTTTCTCTCTTGAGGATGTTTGGTTTGTATTTTACTTTTTGAAGACAAGAAGATACTTTTTGGATCTCTAGGAATGTCTGTACAAACATGCAATTCTGTCTGTACAAACATTTCTCTTCTGAACTAAAAATAAATTTATTTTACAGAAGACCTTGGGAAAAATGTGAACCAAAGTGAATCATGTGCCATATTGCTCCTTGGAATATTAAAGCTAAATTCCTTACTGGCACATGCTGATGTAGGTCTGTTGGGTTTGATGGAGTTATTATATCCCATTCTAGCAGGGAATTATGGAGCAGCTTGGGTTTGTTACATAAATTAGACTGATGCAAACTAGATAATTAAGACTACCAATTAAGGTTTGTACAATCTGATTCCTCTGAATACATGGGTTGAATACACATGATCAGAGTCTACTTTTATATTTTGTATTATAGTATTCTGGAGAGCCAAATAACCCCTTGATTCTTTGCAGTAATGGAGAAAAGAAGGCTGTTTCTCATGGGGTGACAAAAACTGCAATGATGACATCTTTAACTTTTGTGCTTCTCACATAAATCAGACTCAGCTAAATCAGTGTAATCCTTTACTGACATGAAAATTCTATTTTTCAGCTCTAGTTGAAGTTTTAAAGATATTGTTAAATACTAAATCACTAAACATAGAATAAACCAGTAATTTCCTGGTCAGTTCTCAGCAATTTTACCTTACCTTACCCCATTCTTGTTGCACAACTGGGAAGATGGAGCTTCTCCCTGCTGTGAAAAGGGACAAAAAGAAGTCCTGGAAAACAGAACCCAAGCTTGACAGATATATCTACCATTATAAGTAGGAATCTAGGTAGGCATCTGCAGGGAAAGGAAGTATGTTTAGAGGAACTTCGGCTGCCAGCAGTCTGTTGGACTGGAAGGACAAGAAGCTTCCATCACCCTTGTATCTACTACAGATTGGCTTCCAGAGAACAACCATGGTGTGTCTGGATGGAATATGAGCCAGTTATAACTGATTCATTAGCAGTAATGAGTCTCTTGAAGCTGTAGGGCTGCACTGTTAGCAAGGCATTGCTATTACAACCATGCCAGGCTGCACTTCAGCCTGGGATTTGTTTTCCAGACTATCCAGAGTAGAGAAGCAAGGTCCCTTTAGGTCTTCATCTACTGCTAAGACTGCTTCTGGCTTACTTTTTTCATTACATCTAGGTAAGTGATAACAAATACGAGCAACATATTTTGGGAACAAAAATGCTCCTGGCCACCTTTTCTGGTTCAAAGCAGCCACCAACACTGAGATTAGAGCAAAAATAATGAAGGATAATCACACATTGGCCATCCAGTTTCAGCTGTGTTTGCTGTTCTGGATCATCACATCTTTTCAGCTTTCTTTTAGGGAACAGAGCAGGGAAAAATTAATTATAATAAAAGAGTGATCCATGTGCAAGTGAGGAAGAGGTGAGCTCACTAAAGTAGTGAGTGCTCACAGTTTGGAACACGTCAGCCTGGTAGGAGCCAACAGGCAGATGGGAATCTGGGATGCCGTACAGATCCACACCAAGAGGCCTCAGGAAGGAATCTGATACACAGACAGACCATAGAGATGTGCTTCCTCTAGGTTTATTCTGTCTCCTGAAGCCACTGAGAATTTTTGGAGTGAGAACTAGGTTAGAGAAAAGGATCCAACCTGCAAAGACATTGTGGGCAAGGCGAACAACTGTTTTTCAGTCTGTTATTTTAACTTCAGACAGCTGATCTGAATTCCTCTGGTTTCAAAGTTCATTTCCTCTACCCTGAGTTCAAAAAAAATCCAGCATTACGGGCTGAAAAGTCTTTTTGGTTTCCCACTATAGAAAAAGACAGAATCAGCCTTACTTCACAGCTACACTTGGTTTGCTGTGATAACTATGATCCCAGTAAACACTGGGAGAGCAAAGAAAAATGAGCTTTCTCTTCCTGTCTTCAGCTTTCTCTATTGTACAGACCTGAATCCTTCAGTCTCCTGATTGATAACTGCGACTTTCCGTGGCTATTTGAGATAATCATGTGGAAAATCAGTGCAAATGATGCATGTTTAATTGGGGCACTTCCAGAAATCCTGCATATCTGTTGACCTCTCTGAGAGAAATCTGGATCCACTTTGAAAGTCAACCAACAATTTCTGGCAGAGCCAAAGGCATCAAACCTGAGACAGTAAACTGACATATTCAATGGCCAGAGAAAATGTAAGTCATTTAAACAGCTTCAGCCATGACAAAGAAAATAATAAATTACATTTCATTCCAGCATCAACGGGTAAAATTCATTCTTTCTTGTAAATATATTTGCAAGGATCACGTAACAATCACATCCTAAATCCCCAGCTGGCACAGGTTTTCCTTGTTCTGCTGCTCAGTGAGAAACTGGCTCCATAAACTCTTTGTGTCCTTCTTTGTGAACACCACCATCATGAGCACAGGCCAGGACTTTATGCTTTCTAGGTTTTAAACTTTGAGCCAGAGTCAGAGGAGAGCAGAAAAGGAAAAAAGCTCCAGAGAAAACCTTACTGAGCATTTTGTATCTGCTCAGGTCGGAAGAAACTTATTAGCTATTTACAAAATTAATTAACTGGAGAGTTCTTTAAAGCAATCATGCTGTTTCAAATACCAGTAAAATATCAGGCAGACAAAGCAAATATTATATAATTAATCTCAAATAATATTTTTGTGCTATGGTCATGAATTGTCAAGTGCTTCAGCAAAAGACACGGTGATACCTTTTATGCTACAGCAGCGCTCAGAAGCTGCACCAAGGAGACATTTGCTATGTCCCCACCAGAGTGTATTGCATCGCTGAAACATTTGTGTGCCCATTAAAAATACATTTCTGTTTCTAGACTACTTGTGGCAACAGGTAAAGGCTAGGCAGCTAGGAGAAGCTGCTTGTTTGCTGAGCCTGTCAGAACACTTCTGTGTCAACAGAGAAAATGTGTGTGCACAGCTCTAATGGGATCCCTCCACTGTAGTACCTTGTCATTTTGAGAGTGCCTTGCCCTACACATCCTGTGAGCATTTTTTACAGTCAGAATCAACATGCCTGAGTTCTTGTTTCCAACTTTCAGTAATGTTTATTATTGTTTGTCAGCAACTCAGCTCTGCTGGAAAAACCTCCTTCGGTGAATAATGAAGTCATTCCCACAGTGACTGCTGGGTTCCAAAATTTTCAGTACTCTACCTATGGCTATTTAGCTGTACATGAGAAGAGCAGAAAATCTTACTTTTCATGGCCCATAAATAAACACCTAATCCAACACTTCAGCACATTTCTAATTGTAATGCAGCATATAATGTTTCAGTGCACAATACAGATGTTTTCAGTTATTATATGAAGAGGAGACAATGATGGTTAAGTATGTGTTTGCATTATAGTCACGGCATGAAATCATTATGTTCAACTTTCCTGATAATTTTCTTCATATAAAAAAGAAAATTCTGTTCAGCCATTATTCTTTCCCACATGGAACAAGTTGCAGAAAATTCTAAGACATCCATTTAGAAACCACTAACTTATGGCAAAATAAAGGGCAAAATTTCCTTTTAAAATATTGGGCTCTTTCCATCCTATTTCTCTGTTGTTAATCATATACCACCAGTTAGCTGAAATGAGCCCAGGGGGTACAAGGATATGAGCAAGAGCAGAGTTGTCCTGTGGGACTTTTATGCTCAGTGACAACAGCCCAATAACCCATCTCCCTGGGTGTGTCCCTGCTGGGAGTTTTACAGGTGACTGTCCACAGTGGAGTTCCAAAGTGTTCCCTCACTGACACCAGGGTACTACTATTTCTTTAATACTGGTTCTCATTAGCTTTTCTCTGCCTCCAGTTCTCTTTTTCTTTCTCCCCCATTTTCCTGTCCATCCATCTTGGCAGTCTTCTGAAAAGTTGAAACTACATAACAGAACCTTGTGCTGTTACTTCCTTACCCTCTCCAGAGCTATCTCCCTTCCAATCCTCCTAGCTGCAGTAAATTATTGCTTGATGAGAATAACTCATTAGTTCACTTATAAAAAGGCCTGACTTCACAAACAGATATTTTTATGAGTTCTATTTGTGAAGGCAAAAATATCTGTTTTGGTTATGCGAACAAGCTACATGGATACACATGGGCAGTAAATATCTAGGCAACTCCAGACCACAACTTGAGACCATTTTAATTTTAGAAAAATCAAACCTTAAAAGGCAAAAAAGTTTTGTATTCCTAGATTGGAAGAGCTGGGTTTATCTGCTCAAGAGCACTTATCATTTGAGATCATTTTTGATGCACAAAATCAGATGTAGAGTTATAACATTATTTATCAAAGTACTGAAATCAAAACAGAGTAACTAGAAGTGTTCCAGAGCCATCACTGCAGAACTTCATACAACTGATCTAAGTAAACTTTAAATCTTGTGCCGTGTCTCTTTTCCCAAAATACAGAAATGACGTGAGATGCCAAGCCAGACAAAATAAGAGAAATCAGTGTCATGGTATAGCACAAGTTTGATTTTAAGGTCAGCAAACCTGAAAATTCTTCAGCCAAGTAGAGAATAAAAGACAGCAGGCTGCAATGACATCGTATGCAGTAAATGAAATATTTCAAAAGAAAATATAAGGCCAGTATTCAGAGATGGAGACTTCAAAAAAACTTCTACTTTTAGATCAGTGATGTGAAAATTATCACTGATGATGTGAAAATTATCAAAACTTCATATTTCATAATTAGTCTCATTTAAGATCTAGCACAATTTAACATTTCATTGAAAAAAATTGTTTTACTTCAAAGACAAATTTGACCTTGACTCATTGTGAAAACTTAAACATAGGGTTTAAATCCATATGCTAGAAAAGCTCTGGAAAAATAAGTTGCAGCATTTGAATGACATGAATTAAGACTGCGGTTGAATGGGCTGGTTACAACAGATAATGTTTTTCAAAAAAATCAGTCTGATTCTAAATTCTGATTTCCGATTATAAATTACCTATAACAAATGATTTTTGAAATTGACTGTATTTGTAATAACTTAAACTAAATATGGACAAATATTTCAGTCTATTTATGGTCCCAAGCCATGTTTCCCCCACCTCTGTACCATGCATTGCTTCAGCTGGATGATTGATCATGAGAAAATAAAAATCTCCATAAAAAACTTTGGCCCAATCTTTTCTTCCTTCTTCAAGTGGCCTCTGAGAGCACTTGCAGGTAGTGTTCCAAACACTGCAGAATGAAAAGAAAAATTAGATAAATTGACTTATTACCAATGTCAAAACCAGTTTGTAAGTTGTTTAAAGCAGCCTCCAATATTTCTTGGAGTCTTTGCCTGAAAACTGTACATAAGTAACGCACCCATTACAAAAATTCAGCACAATTTTTCAGTGGATGTGGTTGAATGTTAAGCAGTAAAGAGAGTAACTTTAACCCTTTTCTTGGTTCAGCAATCAAGCTCAAATTGTTTTTATTTCTTTCACTAGCATTCAAAAATAAATCGCTTCTGTGAACAAACATCAGGTAGATGTAGAGGGTTTATTGATCAAAGTTTCACTTTATGTTGATGCTCTTTACTTTGCACTGTACATCAACTAATTTTCATTATAGTCTTCTTGTCTTACATGATGACAGAAGTAGCAGTATGTAATTATCAACATCTTTGTTTGTTCAATATTTATTTAATTCATATGTGAACGACATCTTCTCAGAGACCAAAAGTAGCACAAGTGAGGGGAAAAGATGCAGTAAAGGATACATCAGGAATTTGAAGAATGGTATATAAGCAAAATTGTGCAGCATGGAATTGTATCTCTGGGTACCAGTAAATATTTAAATCTTGCTGTCCTCTTTTCCACACAGCTACATTAGTTCCACAGTCTTTGAATCCTTTTCTCTGATTGCCTCTAAACATTGAAAATAATATTTTAAGCAAATTCCTAGGAACCATTGTTTTTACCAGGCTTCACAAACTTCATACTGTACCCTGCATTTTATTTTTTGTATTTAGAAAAGCAGCTGGAAGCTATTTGGACAACTAACACATTGCAGTATGCTACCTGATACCACACTGAGGTATAACAATTATCTAAATTAAGCCTTTCAACAAGGTAGGCAAGGCCCTTTATAACACTAAGATTCCAAAGTAAAAAGGGAACACGTTTACACTAATTAAGCATTTGGTCTAACACATTAAATCCTATTTGGGAATTTGCCTTATTTACTTTCAGGACTGAATGCAGTGACAAAATGAATGTGACAGAAAAAAAACACTTGGGGATATGTTGATGCTCTCTACAGTCCTCTAGAAATTTCCCTGTATTACAGGTACAGACCAATAGGATAGCCAAGAAGGTCATTCCTACCACTAACTTTTAGGCAACCAGGCAACAGCTTTCTCAGAAGTAAACCACTGGAGAAAAATAAATTGTTTTTTACCTGATACTAACACATCTCAAGCATGCTAATGGTCAGGTCTCAAAATGCTTTAATTATAAATGAGGCGTCTTTTTACTTCAACATGCAAATTGCCGGTGAGTTGAGCATATATTGCAGAGTATGAATTCCTCACCATCAACAACTAATAACAATTAAAAAAAAAAAAAACCTGGAGAAAAGCAGCCAAACCATCTGACAAAGCCTAGGGCACATGTAACCCCATCACTACAAATGACTGCAGAGCTTACAAATCGAGCCAGATGCTGCTTCTGGAAGGATTTCATCTATAATATCCGAACCGCATGACAGCCTATCACAACTCATGTTTGGCCTAAAGGTGTGCAGCGCTGGTGGAATGGGCAAATAATGAGAGGGAACAGGAGCAGAGCCTTAATCCTAACTAAGGAGGGGTTTTTTATTGTGGTTTATGGTGTGGTGGGGCTTTTCTAAATTTGAAAATTGAATTTGTTCTACCTGCAAACACAGGCACAGATGGTGCTTCTATAATATGCTGTTATAATATGCTGATTTGTTTGCAGTGTTGCATTCACGTCCAAATTCACGTCCAAATGCATTGGGTCTTCTGTAGTGTTGCTCAGAATGGGTCAAATGTAGAGAAGATGGGAATCTCCTTGGTGCATAATGAAGGATTTTGCCCATAGCCCCTCTGGCAGGTGCAGCATCTGTGTTCTGAACTCCCTTCCCCAGCTAGGCATGTGGCTGGATAATAATTGCTGAACAAACAGACTTTATCAAAGGGCTGAAAATATGCATGAGAGAGCTGCATTTCACAGACAGGGATACTGGTAAGGGTTACACAATCCATTAATTGTGGCTTCATTTCATCATTTCTGATTTCCTCTGTAAAAGACTGCTAAGCAAGGCTTGAGACAGAGACACCAAAACCTGACCCCTGGTACTGAGGTTTTAAGCAGAGAGAACCACTAGAACTCAATTCCCTCCCATTTTGTTTCTGACTATTTTGAAGTTATCTCTATGAAAACCCTCCCTTGCTGGGCAGTCATGCCTGTGTTTACCTTCGGTGTAATCTTTCTACCAACCTGCACCACATTTTTCAACATGAACTAAGTGATGCTTAGAAGAATTATTTGCATTCTGTTTAATTATTTTGCTGGTTTATGACTGAAATTTTCTCTAATAAAAAAATAAAATGATTGGGACTTCTAAAGATAGAGAAAACCATCCTGTCTTTCTGACTTTGGCACAAAATTAATATCCATGTATCAGTAGAAGTCCATCACCATTCGGCATATGCCTCAAACATGTTTGTTTTCTTCCTTGATAAGTCATAAAATAGATTTAAGGCGAGAAACTTGCAGAACACCACAGCCAGGAGATGGTAAAGAAACCATTATTCACTGTAAATTTAATCTATTCTAGGGACTGGAACTATCCCCACATGCACACTTTTCTTTCTTTTTATTCTTATTTGGTTTGGGTTTTTATTTTGGTAGCCAGGAGAGCTGTAAGCCCTCGGTGAAGGATCAGTGTCCCACATGGTAGCACGGTCTGCTCACAGCAGCACACATATGCCCAGGTCTCATCAGCACTCCTGCGGAAAATCTCCAAGCTGCAGGAACACACCACAATGTGGGATTCTTCCAAACAGAGCATTCCTGCCTTAACTTGGCTGATTAGGAATATGGGAGGGAAGCTAAGTGTCAGTGGGGGATTTGGTCCTTTTATAGGGATAGTTTAATCCATCTAGGCAACTCATAAGTTTGAGAAGGTATAAACTCTCCATTATAAATTCCACTTGCTTATATCCCAAAATAGACAATGCCTAAAATGACTGGCTTTATTCCCACTGAATCAGTCTTGGAATAAACGCTAAACTTGATGGAGAGTGGGGATACCATTATGGTGAGGCTATCTTTGGATAAGGAAATAACAACAAGCAAGCATTGTATGATATTCAGACAATGGAAAAATCAAGACCTTAATCAGCTGGGATCTGTGTCCTGCTGCACTTGCTAAACTTATTAATTTTGGCTATTGTCATTTTTAGATAGTTCTTTAAACCCTCAAGTGTCGCTCAATGCAGGGGCCAGGAAAGGAAGAGGAGAGTTGTCTTGTCAAAAGTGGATCTCAGCTGGAAACCTGCCCACAACTTTGGAAGTATCAGCAGCAGTTAATTGCTGTAGGAAAACCCAGAAGCCCAGCCCCTAAGTGCCTTTATACAGTCCTGAAGTGCAGTTACACAGACAGATCCCCACATTCTCATCCAGCTCCAATCACAAAAATATACCTTTCTAAAGCCAGGATCCCTCAACAGACAGCCCATGAGTGTCACAGCCAGGCACACCACAAACCCACAGTACAAATGCTTTCTTGTTCCTCTTCTAGGGATAAGTTGGGGCAATTTCTGTGCATACTGCTAAAACCTTTCCTAATGGCTCCTACACCACTCATATTCTTTCTGTGATCAGATATAAGATACCATATAATCACCATCTTTGTAAACACAGTGTTTGCTGAAGAGATGGCCTTGTACAGCACATAGCCAAGGTGGCCAAAATTAGTAAAAAGGGTAGAGTTACTGAGTGGCAATGGCACATTAATGAAGTTTTATAGTTTGTCTATGACCACACAGGTAACAAAGTAAGATAGGACAAAAATTTTTTCAAACTTCTGTTGTGGTTCCTCATTATGTGTAGTGCAAATGACTTTCTGCTATCTGTAAAATCATAAAATAATTCAGGTTGTGAGGGACTTCTGGATGGAGATTTTTGTGTGTTGGCTTTGTAGCAGAGGATGTTACAGCCTGTGCCAGCAGCCACAGCAGAAATGTTGATGAACACTAACTGCCAGCTGACTGTGTAGCTACTTCTCAGCTGTTCATAACCTGGAGTTTGTGACCATCATGTTGCATGTTAGATGTTACTCATAGATTCAGAAGATTAGAGAGTTAAACCAAAATTACCAAGAGCATAAAGATTATATAGAATATGTGACTGTTCCCCTTCCCTGTAAAGCAGACAGGGAGAGGGATCACTACGTTCATGTACATCTTCTATCCTGCAGATTTGCTACAAATAAAGACCTCTGTGTATGCGAAAAGAAGAGCACAAATCATGTCTATTTGGATTTCATTATGTTTAAGGAATTTTTTTCCATTTAAAAAGCAATTTTAGACAGAGTAAGGACAACAGATATGCTCTGACTTCATCTCACCTGTTCTCCTGAAACACAGCAGCCATAATTCATGGGCACAGGTTGGCACAAGGTTGTTTGTTATTCACTCTTTCCATCGACTGCCTGATGCATCTTTGTCATGATTCATTATTCCTAACAGCTATATCAAGTGTTGTAATTACCGCACAATATAGATTTGACTCCACAATATTTCTAGATTGGAAAGAGAAAAATAATATATTAAGTGCTTGTGATATCTTTATGTATAAGTTTGAGAATCGTTAAATATCTGTCACTCTTCCTTCCTCCTCAGCATCAATTACTCCACTCTGGTTTTACTTACTCCACTCTGTATAATGAGTCCCTAGAGCATGTTTCATTGCGGGAGAATGAACACATTTTTCACTTGCGGTCAGTGGGATGTGGTTAATTTGAAATCACTTAAACTATTATATCTGTCAAGCGTGGTTATTTTATTTTCAATTCACATCAGTGTTTTAGTATGCATGTCGGTTACTGGGTTAAACTGGCAGATTAATTTCCAAGCAGTCTGTTGCAATGCTCTTCTTCACTAGCTTTACATGTAGGCTCTTGTTGAAACTTAATACATTCCCATTAAAATTTACTTCAGAGAAATCTACATTCAATATAAACACTCATATGATAAACAACACTCACCATTGAGTGAAAAAGGTGGCAAGATCAGGAAACTTACAGTTTTCTCCCCCAAATACTTGTTTTTCCTCCTTGTTCTATCTTAACTTCTCATATACATCATGACATGCAACTGTGGGGGGAAAAAAAAAAGTTCAGTAACTAGGGTTACTTTGACATGCTTAGAGGGGTTTTTTCCTGCTATGTTTACTGATTGCATTGATCAAAAAAGCTGCAGGCTTCAGTTCAATGTGAGCAGATTCACAATTCACACCATATAAAGCTGTTTGGGTCGTTTGGGGTTTTTCTCCCTTTTTAAAATATTATGGTTTGAAACTTATAAATAGCCAGGATTTGAAAATGCTGAAATACTGACTTACACAGCTACTAATAACAGGGTGCTCATACAGAGAATTAGAGGAACCGCCAATGGGCTTTTTATTACAGCAATATTGTACATATTACATGAATAAATTACATTGTTGCATTATGCAGCTGCTGCATCATCAGTTTAGAGAGTAGACTGCGATCCTAAGTATTCGGGGATGCAAGCTCATTATCTCTAAACCCACTTTGGTTACAGCCACGATACAATCCCAGCTAAACAGCTTTCGCATAATGTATTGCATATACCTTTGCATAATCAGGTACATGGCTCAGAGACGGACTGATGAGTTTAGGTGTCTAATCAAATTTACAAAAAATAGTCTCTTTCTCTGAATCAGGCAAAATCTTTCACTTGGAAAGGTTATTAGGGAAACTATATTACCCATAAAAATACAAATCTACATATGTTGTGAAACATCGCTTTTGATTTGAAAGATGCTAGTAGAAAAATATGCATTTGTATAACAACAGATCTCACTGTAAAAAGAACCAACTAAATTTTAAAAAAACCCTGGTTTTTCTTTATCTTCTTATGATGATGACAACTGCCAGTGTTTGAATGCTGCCAAAGCATTCTTGAAACTCAATTGTTTTTTTCTCTGCACATTGTTCTCTCATGCCATCAAATAAAACACAAATTTTAACATCCTCCACAGCTGCAAATGTTTGCCTACGACTCATAGATTCATTTACATATCTTATATATTGATGCAAATATCTTTGGCTAGGCACGTAATACTCTGTCAGTTCTCTTCATTCTACTCAGTGCCTGCTTCCTCTCATTGCTTTTTTTTTACTTTGCTTTAACTGTGTCTATTTTCATTGCTATTGTTGTTCCCATCTTCTGAAAGCACATGCATCCCCCTCGTATATCCCACCTGGTTCACTGTCCTCATCACCTCAAGGGAAATCCTGGACCTGGAGAAATCAGTCAAGGTTTTACAACAGCCTTAAGCTGGACAATGTTTTACTATTGACCTCTTGCCAGATGAGGCTGCTTGATGTATGACATTTCTACAGAGATTTCACTAGTGGTTTCCTGAAGAGGCTCCTAAAAGCTATCAGAATCATGGAGATAATGATGGTTAAGGCGGGGACAAATATGTAGTGCTATATCTTTTTATGCGCACACAATAAAACTAAGTGGGAAAATAACACACTTTTAGTCTAAGCAGTTTTAGAATAGAAATGTTCATCCTTCAAATCCCAAATTTTCATGCTGTTGTTTTCCATACTTTGAAGGGATTCTAGGCAAAGGAAGATCTAAGCCTAATGTGATACATGTGCCGTAATGCACATATCAGTAATGGTGCTGTCTTGTTTTGAAAGACAGGTGTCTGCTAAGGAAGGCAGGAGCCTCCCTTGGAATGGATAATGAAAATCCCCTCCCACCGAAATACGACAGGTGTCTGCTAAGGAAGGCAGGAGCCTCCCTTGGAATGGAAAATTGAAATCCCCTCCCTCCGAATTATAAATTTGAAATTAAGGGGCTTTCAGGCAAAGATATGAGGATAGGAATAACAGTTCTTTACTAGTGTGCATAATAAGGCAAACAAACAACAACAGCTCTGGCACTGACAGCAGCCAGAGCCTCTGGGCCGCTGCGCTTTCCCTGCGGTGCAGTGCCGGGCGCGGCCAGCAGGGGCGCTGCTGCTTCCGGTGGGCGGGGCAGGTGCAGCAATTCCTCCAGGCCTGCAGGGGGCGCTGTGCTGTGATCTCAGGGAGCGCATGGCAATGGTGGCTGGGCCCAGATGGGAAGGGATGGAGGAGAGAAGAGAGGCTTTACTCCACTAACCCTGGGGCAGCCGATCCCGCTGCCCAGAAGCGAAGGGATGGAGGAGAGAAGAGAGGCTTTGCTCCACAAACCCTGGGGCAGTGCCCAGAAGCAGCAAGATGGGACTGCAAGGTGTATCGACAGGCAGAGAGTGTGGGGCTACAGTGCAGAGAAAGCTCCCAGCAGTGCTAAAGAAGCAGCAGGGACAGAGCAGCTGGTGGAGAGAGCAGTGGCCCAGCTCCCAGCAGGGCAGAGAGCCGAGCTCAGGATCCTGGCACCCAAGACGCATGGCAATGGCGGCTGGGCCCAGACGGGAAGGGATGGAGGAGAGAAGAGAGGCTTTGCTCCACAAACCCTGGGGCAGTGCCCAGAAGCAGCAAGATGGGACTGCAAGGTGTATCGACAGGCAGAGAGTGTGGGGCTACAGTGCAGAGAAAGCTCCCAGCAGTGCTAAAGAAGCAGCAGGGACAGAGCAGCTGGTGGAGAGAGCAGTGGCCCAGCTCCCAGTACGGCAGAGCTGAGCTCAGGATCCTGGCACCCAAGCAGGAGGGGACAGCACCCTCTGCCAGTGAGGTGGGTGTTAGCAAGGTCCCACTTCAGTGGCTGCTCTCACAAGCAGAGGCTCACCTCACGGCAGAAGAAGCAGCTCCGGGCTGGGCTCCGGTGGCAGCAGCGAATTCCCTTCCCCAAGCAGCAGCTCTGACCATCCAGCCCTGCAGCCAAAAGAGACAGACAGACAGAGAGCGCCAGCAGCTGCCCAGCCCTGGCCTTTACCTGCCCAATTCCTGTGGTATCTCTGCCCCTTGGAGAGAAACTCCCAGACAAGAGAAGTGCAACCAGATGACCTCCTCTCCTGAGCTTGGCCACTTCTTGTGTTTTTCTTAAGTACCCAGTCATTAATATTTCCTAGCAACGTATGGGGGGAAAAATAATCTAAGTAAAAAGGAACAAAAGGAAAGAAACCTATCCCCCAACAGGTGCTGGAAGAGAGCACAGAATCCAATGCTCTTCCATCCACTAAAGGCTGTGGCCTGGCTCTGGTTGTTTTTCTGACAAAAACAGAACCAGGAAAGGAAAAGCTTTGAGGCGCTTTTCTCCTGCATCTGGACATCTTGCCAGTACAGTGTGAGAAACTCTCATGCTACACTTGAAAGGGAGCAATGAAAGTGTTGATTCAGCTATCAACATGTCACTCCCTCTCCTCCATTAAAAGCAGAAATACACTTTTCTTTATATGGTCTGCCCACGTAAAATCTAAGCATTCTGCACTATGTAGATTTTCCCAAATTTAGGCTGAGACAGAACGACTCCTTCATCTACAATGCCATTGCTAAAGTGCTATCAGCTGTAGCTTTTATCTGCTTAGCAACCACACATCTTTGCAGCTGAGAAGACAGACATGAATCCTAAATAATACGACAGCATAAATTGAAGACATCCAATGTTAATGTCACCAGGTCACATGGTTTGGTCCACAGCTGGAAGTGCAGAATACAAATTTGAATACAGTCTGTACTATCACTGACTTGTTGCATTCTGTGACTTAGGAAAATCATATAATATTGTTTTCATCCTTTACATGAAAAAATAACTTTAATATTTTCAAAGAAGACTTTTGTTGTAAAAATATGGTCAACCAAATGTTCCTGGAGGGAGACTAAATGGGGGGGAGAAATGCAAATTTGTTGATGTTGTTGACAGTGTACATGCATCTCTGTGGAAATGCATATATCTGAAAAGAACAAAAATTGTCCTTCATTTATAAATATGATTGTCATGTCACTAATCTACTTCCAAACCAAATCCACTCTAAGTGGATTTGGAGAAAGATCATGTCAATTTTATCTCAGAACATACCTAGCATTTTTAGGAAAATAAAGACAAACTAAGTTGGTAACCTGCTTCAATTCTATTGTAGAATGAAAGAGCATAGTATTTTCCAGTACTAATTCTTTAAATGTTTTTTCTATATGCTACACTACTTTTTGGGAAAAAATATTAAAGTATTGTTGCATATAAAAGATAAAAGGTAGTTATAATAGAAAAGGAACTATCTGGGTGAATGCTGCCATATTCATGAAACAGCTCTGAGATATATATATATGTGTGTGTGTAAAGTACATACATGCACAAAGGTGGACAGTGATGTACTCTGTAGTATGTGCTAGCTCAACAATTTTTTTTTGTAAAAACCTGAGTTTATTCAGCAAAATACTGTGCCGAATTCTTCAGTTGTACTAGAGCAATTTCAAGTAAATTTAGTCCCAAACAATGCAGTTACAAGGAGAAAACAAGATGTTTTGTGGGGGGGTTTCATTTGTCTTTATATCAAGAAATTACTGAAGCAAGCTGGATCACAATCACATTTTGGTCACTCATGACTTGATATGAAAAATTTTGAATGCAAGGATGATTGAAGACAAATGAGAACACCTTTCAGAATGGAAATGACTAGACAATCTCAGCTCAACTTTTATCACATGCAAACTAAAAAGGCAGTCAACTCAATGGTAGCTCTGATCTCTGCATGTCTCTACAGAGTCAGTCAGTAACCAGTACTGTGAGCAGCTGTAGAAAGTGAATTTAATTTTGCTTGTGTGTGTGGGTATAAAGAAAATGTAAAGCTGATTTTTTCAGTTCCTGAGCACAAGAAAAAGTTGGCATACATGTTGCCTGTAGATACTGGGGCTAAAACAGTGTGTGAGGTTTTCTTCCTCCAAGCTGTAGTGAGAGATGAAGAGATCCCATATGGGCCATAGTACAAAGAAAGCAGAGTAACAGGAAAAGGAAAAAAAATGCAGTGTATAAGGGTAACAGAGGGAAATAAGATTGAAAGAACAAAACATCAACATTGTTAGTCATGAGGAACAGACAGGAGGGAGGTATTGCCTGCTGACCATGTGTACCAATGCCAGAGTTTAAAAAACACGGCATCTGTGGTATGGGATGGTGTCTCTCTAGATCTCAAAGGCAGCAGCAGATTGTTTTTATAGAAAGAAAAGGTGTCAGCAGAAAGGAAGGAGCATACACACATGGAATCATTTGCTGTAAGAAGCCATTTGAAAAACAACTGAGGAGTTGAGTGGGAGAAACATCTGTGAAACATGCAGCAAGACCACCACTAGTGCTTCAGGGAGGAGGTGGGAACAGAAGGGGATACACAAGCAGTGTTGGACATAGCATCTTGTCAGAGCGACAAGGAAATGTTGTCGGTACTCTCAAGAAGATCCAACATCTTGTGAATCTGGGAGGAAAAATATTTTGTCCTCCTTGTGAGAGAGCCTGGGTATACTTTTTATACTTTTCAAGAAGAAGACAAATCTATATTCATTGACCAAAGTAAATCAAATAGTGCTATCTTTAAGAAGAAATGCACTTTTCAGGGGACATGTTGGCAGTTCTGCTTACCAGGATCAGGACTTTTTTACTTCTTTTCCTGGGCTTGCTTCTTTTGCTAGTAACCCTAAATGTGAAAGTCTTAAGAGACAGCAAATTGCCACCAGTGACAAACAGCAGTTGTATCATTTTGGGGTCAGTGAAAGCAGATATGATATATAACAGCAAGAAGGGAGAAATTCCACACCTTTTAGATGTCTGGCCTTAATTTTGCAGTCCAGATTTTTTTTGGTTGATAGTAGAAAGAAAAGTCTTCATGACATCAAGACCATATCTGAAGTCAGTTCAGCAATTCCTCATGAAGACGCCAGTCTAGATGCAAAATAACCTGCCTGTAACACAAATGAAAAAGAAAACATTGATCAGAGGAAATTTTACTTCTCTGGGTTTGTAACTTTCTTTACACAAAGCCTTTAATGACTTTTCAGCATTGCTGAGGGAATGGTGTGGGAAAGGATTATTTTGTTAGCCAGCTATTACGTAGAATTGTATGGAAAGCCCATGTGCTACCCAAAGGCCTCTCAAGGAGGTCACATAAAAGATGAGTCATAATGTAACTGATTTCTACCAGATCATCCTTCCATTTGCTCACTGCAGAAAAAACAAACTATGGAATGTGAAAGCACTTTGAAGTGACTGATGATCTTGCTGTTTATTAACCACACTGAAGGCAACCTTAGTAAAAAGTAAATGAAGGCAAATGAGTAATAGACACTTGATGGCTCATTCCAACCACTGTAAAGACAAAGCAAGCCTTTTATTCTTCACAAAGAGATATGCTCTTATTCTGTCTCAACAGGTTAATGATAGCTCTCAAGGGAGAATAACATTGAGAAAAAGACTATATACCTTAATTGTCAAGAAAATGCATACACACTTTAATTTAGGATTTTTTTGAAAGAATTAATCTTTATATTAACAATCACAGAATATTCTGAGTGAGAAGGGACCCGTAAGGACCACCTCCTAGCCCTGCACAGCATCAACCCCGAATCACAATATTTGCCTGAGAATATTGTATAATAAAAAATGCTGCCATTTATTTACTTCCTCCAGAGGTTAATAGTTAGGTTTATTCATTAGTTTATTTTTAAGCTAATACATGGGAAAACCACTTCTCCTAGTGAAATAGAAATTTTAAATAACTATCTCAATATAAGGGGGGAAAAAGTTCCAAAGGAAAAGACAGCTTGTTCAGAAAGAAGCACTGTTGGTCTGTAATAAACTCCAGGTCATTTTTCTGCCATCAGTGGTTAGAAAATATTATTTTTAATTAATTACAATTAATTTGCTAGTTTTTAAGAATTTTTGATTGAAGAATCTCTGACTGAAAAAAAAAAATCTTTCCTTAGCACAACCTTTCTAAAATCACTTTTAATTATTTTTATATTATCACAGTTCTTCAAAATCTGACTTTGTCTAAAAAAACCCCAAAGCTAACAAAAAACACAATGCAAAAAAAAAAATCTAATTTCCTGTTATTATGGGGTTTTTTTGTTATTTTTTACTTACTGTTGGCTAATGTAGCATTGGTTACACTTTGTTTCATTGTTTTTATTGTATAGACCATACATTCCATGCATCCTTCCACACACCTAGCTTTGGAAACTGAAAACCCACTGCCCGGGTGCTCAGCCAGCAAGTCCAATTCACAGCGGGTCCTGAGGGTCTTGCAGCATGAGACCATGGCTTGTGACTCACTGAAACCCTGATTTAGGAGAGAGGTTTGTCATCTTGCACATCTAAACCTTAATCCACAAGCCTGGCACTGCTCACTGATCTTGACAGGAGCGGAGCCAGCTTGGCACTTGGCAGATTCAGGACTGCCTCCTGGAGATTAGATGGCTTGGCACAGTCAGAACACAGAGGTCAAACTACGATGTTTGCCAAACGAAAAAGAACCTCTCATTTTCCAACTCTATTGCTGCTCCCTGGATAAGCATTTTTGGCCTTTTGCCTTGGTTTGAAGGCAAGACTTGTTAGGATTTAGCCTGAGGGAGCTGGTTTACTGTTGAAGGTCAAGCTAGATTTTGACTGTTGTGAAGCCCTGATATGGTAAGGTCAGATGCTTTCTCGTTAGGGCTGATCTCTCAAGGCTCTGGGTAACTCCTGGGACGTCATCAGGAATGGAAATTATTGCACACCTTGCTGAAGCCAATTCCTGATGGTTTTTATGTTCCAATTTTGTGAAATACAGACAATTTTGCCTGAGATTGCAACAGAATAGAACATAGTATTTTCATTTCATATAGGATTTCAGAATATGAACATTTGGATTTTTTCCCAGCAGTATACTTTGTCTTGACTACTACTCATTATATGTATATTTAATCATCATGTATATTTTTAAACCAGAAGTACTTAGACTCTGAAAATGTTGAAACCAGATTCATTTTAAGGCATTTCATTCTCAATGAAACAGCAGATTCTCAAGAAACATTATCATTTTTCTAACAAATTTCCCTTGTCATGCATCAGTGGCTGTTTATTGTTTAGTTTTTCTGGAGCTAACATCACTATAGCAAGGATGCTTTTCTGCTCTGAACCTTCTCTCTGCCTTCTGGTTACGCAGTGGCACAACCAGCACTGGACATATTCCCCAGCACCTGACACCCTGCAAAAAAGGCCTCTGTTACCTACCAAGTTTTGTGGGTCTGCACAGAGCCAAGGCTTCAGTAGCAGCACAGGAATCCTCTTTCACAGTTTGCTGGCTCACACAGCTGTGATTTGGGTATTGCTGCTGTGTGATTTAGCTTTCATCCCCTCCTCAAGTCAGGCTGTCAAGGAGAGCATCATTTGAAACACCTCTGAATTCACAGGGCTCACCCTGTGCCAGAGCCTTCCTCCCTCCTTGTGGTGTCTTGTAGGAAAACAGAATTTCTCAGAAACAACCAGCTGTTTTGAAGCAAAGTGTAACAAAAGAAACTTGAGCAATCTCAGCATATGTTTTTATTCCTCACCTGTCTTCTTGCAGTGGTCTGTGCAATAGAGTGAAAGTTTTACCTAACATCACACTCACAATTCCTCCAGACCTCCAATATCACATTTGTCATCCCTACAGTACATATCAGCTGCTCAGTTTTTCATCATTGTGGTAGTGCACTGGAGTTAATAATACGGTTGCTCTTGCAGAAGAAGCATACAGAATCCTTCTTTGCTCAAACATTAGTGCAAGCAGCCTTCTGATTGTGAAGGCAACATTTCTTTTGGAATGGAATCAGACCAAATTGGCTTTTGAGCAGCAGTGAAGACTTTTTGTTTCATTTCTCCAGTTTTGAAACATGTTTTCTAAAGTTTTGATTGAGGATATCTTGACTTCTACACAGTTTTCTCTTTAACAGACTGAGCAGCAAGGAGCTTCTGTCACTACAAAGAAAACATTCCCAATCCCCTGCTCTACTGTCAAACCCACATTAAAAACAGAAGGAGTCAGCAATCTAAGGATGCTGCCTGAAAAGCTCCTAAACAAAGGTTTAGTTCCTGGAGTTTAACATGACAAATTATATGCATAAAGTCTCTCTTAGATGTAATTATGTGATGTCAGAGCAGGAGAATTTTTTCTCTCATATTTTTAAATAATGTCCAGTACTATCAATACCAATACTGAGTAAATTCACTTCTGTAAAAATTTAGTGAATTCAAATGAGTAAATTTTCTTCTGTAAAAATAATGCTTACCGGAAATCATTGTGATTTTTACTGCCTTTGCTCAGTATTACTTTGTAGTCTCATTAAGAATCCTTGAAATTTCAGAATTCATTTATTTTTTTCATTTTACTAAATTTTAAATCTCCTTCAAAACCGCTTCATTATAGCCCATTCTGTCTTTTATATTTGCTAATAGTATCAAACCAGAAAAAAACACCACTCCCATTATTACAAGAATAAAAAACTTTCAAAAAATAGTCTACCCAAAATGTTGTTTTGACAAAATGTAGTAATACCAGGGAAAATACAGGAAAGATTAATATACTTCATTGCATCTTTGAGAAAATGTAATTTATATAGAGAAACGTAGCTACAATAGAAGTAAAATCAGGAAATAAAAGCATAGAAATGATGTCTAAATTACCATATCTGGATAGGGCTTTGCTCTCCTTTAATAGCATGATATAGAACACCAATACAGAAAAAGCAGCCACAACAGTAAAGGAACCAAGGACCTCAGTTATTAAAAAGGGTTAGACACTACTATCTGCCTATATCTTTTAAGGTAAAGATTAAAAGCCAAAGAGGGGCCTCAGAAGGCTGTGAGGCTCATTGGAATCAATGGGAAAATGCAAGCACATCTGAGGGCAGGGCTCGGCCTGAGCAAGGGAACCTCACTGAGAGAAATTGTTCTGCAAAGGCATCAGAAAGGATCAAAGCTCCTGCACTCCTTGAGCTCATGTCAGCCACAGAAAGAGAGCAGAAAGGAAAGCCAAGGATGGTCCAAGAACAAGAGGAACTGAGGTAGAATGTTTTTGCACATACTATCATTGCAGGAATAAATTATGGAGAAGAGGCAAAATACAGTTAATATAATGTCTTGTAAAGGGAGAGAGCAACTTTCGGAGCAAAAAGTTCATTTCCGAATGTAGAGCTGCTAATGCAGAGGATGGAGGAAAAAGGGCAAGGCATCCCATCCTCCTTCTGCCAAAAACAAACAATCCCTCTTCTTGTACCATCAGCATTTAATCAGGTATTAAACATAACTCAAAGCAATTTCTGTGTTTCCTCCAGATCAGGAAGGACATACTCTGCGAGAACTCAGCATTTCACTGTGAAAGACTCAAGCTCCCCAAATTAGATTTAAAGGCGAAGAGACCTTTAAAATGCTGTGGTGGCCGTTCGCGAATCGCGGCGGCTGCGGGACCGATGCAGCCACCGAGACTCTAAGCTGACATCAAAGGGGAAAAAAAATCAGCTGAAATGACAGCAGCAGCTGCAGCATCCGCCTCTAAATTAGGCTGTGTTTCAAAGTCTGGACTCAACTGCTAAGCAGTATAAAGACCCAGGAGGAAGGCTGCCCAAGAAAAAGAGTTAGATTTCTAACCTAACACATCAAAGTAACACATGCTTAGAAGAGCAATAAATGCATATGGCACACATTCACATGCTGCCTAATTGCAGTGGGCTCGTGAAGCCAAGACAAACCTTCAGCTGATTCCTACTTTTAGAGAGGATTTGAGTCCTTTTTGAATGCAGAAATCTGACACAAATTGGTAGCAGATTAGAGTCTGGCATTGTGATAATGCATCCCATAATTTCAAAAGATGGCCATTTTTCATATCATAAGACACCTTCAAAATACTGAGCTCCTTATTAGATAATTTATACATACACCAGATTACAGAATATCCACAACATAATAAACTTAAAAAACCTTTCTCTCAAAATTCAGAAATAGATTAGAAGACCACCAAATTCACAATTAATTTACTTGCATATAAATTTAATTACACAAGTGGGAAGAGTGAGAAATACATTATTAAATTAAAAACATTGCTGAATGCTTTAGCACTAAAAATCCTTGATTTGGGAAAATTATCCATATTTTTCTATGCATTTTTATTTTAGTTTAGTCTGAGGAAACTATTTGCATGGTTGTTGATAATGTACAGATTTATATGATTTATAAGAAAGTAACAGGAAATAAGCCTGAATGTATGGATACTTTGTTATATACACCAAGCATGCTGACTACAAGAAATTGCACATTTTTGTAGTTGTAGCAATATTATTTGATCTCTTTTTGCATTTCCTGCAAGCTAGCAGAGGAAACTCAGTCATTCATTTGATGGGTTTTTTTAATTCCTATGATGTGCAGCACAATGGTGGATTTTCTGAACAAATTCAAACTTAAATCTTCCTCACTTGTCTTTAAGAAACTGTGAATAAATATTTAATATAAACATGAATTACAGACAACATAAAAACCATGAAATATACCTCTCTCTCTACAAACCCCTGAATCTCACTTTTATAGCTTTAAATTTATACACTTTTTAAAGCGTTAAAGTTTCAAGCAAGCCCAATCATCTACATTGCACTCCCTTAACTTGTTCATTAAGAAAAATAAACCCACCAGAAATTATTTGATAACCTTGACACAGTGTCTTTTATGTTTATAGACTTCTACTAGTTTAAATGAACCTGTTTAAGGACATCCACATCAAATACAGTAGTATAGCAGTTATCAAAACAATCAGAGATGGCAAAAAAATTAAAAATCCCTAATGTGCAGTGCTCAAGAGAAAGCAGAAGCATATATCTTGTACTTATAGGATGTGTTATCTCACTTAAGAGTCAAGTGATAAAATATATCTGTAGAAATGATGCATGGTGAAATAAAAATTACTCAGAAGTCAACACTCACACACCCCAAGAAGGGAGAAGAATATAGTGCAAATTAAGGCCAGGTTCTTACTTTAAATTTTCCAGATTTTGTCATTTGTGCAGTTGATGTAACATCATGTGAAGCCATGCTGTAAAATGAAGTAAACTTGAACTGTGTGCAGCTTCTGGCTGTCACGCAGAGGAGCCTAGAGAGGTGGAGTTGGCACCACAGGTTTGTGCACAGGGAGTCTGAAAGCACAGAAACCAACAGAGCCCCTCTTAAATTAACTCATCCTGGCTACTTGAGTGCATTCACCTGTTTCAGCAATTACACCCAACTCAGAAAAAATGTGGTTTGCTACTGCTTAAGCAGAGCAGTTCTTATTCTTTGTTTTGGTTCACTTTGATAATACTTATTGAATGCTACTGTTTAGTGAGCATTTAGGAGGATGGATGTTAAAAATCCAACAACTGTGGCTCTCAGAAAGGATTGGAAACTTGCAGTGCAGACATGTTGAACACTCAGAGAATAACACAAGAGCAAATAGTTATGTGGTTGCCCCAACAGACAACTTGCCTGGTGTGGAAATTACAAAGGAAAAAGTTTTTATCCTGTGGAAAATGGAAGACCATAAAAGGCCAAACTTTGCAAAACCCCTTTTACAAATAAAACACAAAAATGCTGTAGTATGCACTGATAAGGTGAAATATTTCTGAAGATATGCAGTAATGATAAATGCATTATTTGTGTCAGGCTTTTCTAACACAGAATATTGATATTTTGAATGAGAAGATTTTTTATGTCGTTTGGTAGAGTTGTAAAAATGAGCAGTGAACCTGCCTATTTTCCAGCAGCCTGAAGGGTATCCAAATGTAATTGGCATAATTTTCTGAGGATGCCCTTAATTCCATGCCATTTATATTTTATTCTAGACTATTTCTAATTTAAATTCTGGAAAGAGGAGAACTGAAGAAGTAACACCATTGTGTTCCAATTTTCTAACAAAAGTTCACCTTGCCCTGCCAATCTGTTTCAGGAATTCTCTGGAAATCTCTCAGAGTTTAGGAAGAGATTCTCTGCAGCCTGGCAGTTTCCCTCTACTTCCACCTATATTATTAACTTTCCCATACCAACCCCAAATGAGCTTAAATATAGACTCCTCTACAGCTAATGAGCCATAATTAGCTCATCAGTTTTTGACAAGCCTAAATAGACTTGTTAGGGAATGACAAGTCTAGTCTATCTCACACTGGAATGGGTGTCATCCCTCCCACTCAACCCTCCAAGACAGGAAACAAATCTCTTAACAGCTCTTTGCAGAGTTTCCAGTCTCCTCCAGGACTCCAAAAGAAGGAGCCTTTTCAAGTTTGCAGAGATTTACACAAAAGTGACCTGGAGAAGAAGGAGACTGTAGAATTTATTGGTGTGATTGGTTTCACTTTCTGCTCATCTAGATAAAGAAATTACTGTGGTGTTGAAAGGAACAATCTTTGGCTTGTTTCTTTAGGCTGACTCCACAGTTGCCAGAGCCAAAATTAGCTCCTCAGCTCCTGACGAACCATGCTGATCTTACTTATTTAAAATGTTAATAATGCTTAAAATAATAGGAGTCTGATCTAATCTTTATTTCTCTGCACTTCAGCTCAACTAGAAGAATCCAGAGAGCAAAAACATATTCCATTTATTCCAGACTGTTTCTTTATTTATTTATTTAGCTAGGGAAAGCAAAAATGGCATGGAGTAACAGTGCACTGGAGCTGCTGAAAAATCTTTCCTTTATAGGAGAGCCATAATGCCTCAAACAAAGGATCCTGCCACTTTTGGAAAGTATTGGTTTTTCCAGGTGCACAATTCAAAATTGAAAGTTTTGAACCTGCAAGCAAAATCGTTTGCAAGGTTTATGAGAAATGGGAAGACCCATCATTTAAAAATAGCACATGGATTGCTGTTATGTTAAATTCAGTTGTATACCTAAGTCTTAAGAGTGACCCATCTACTTCAGAGTCTATGCAATTTAGGTGCTTGTCCGTCTAAATTCTATTTCAGGATCTGGCTTCTAAAGAAAGGAATTACCTCAAAAAGCATTGCTTGGCTGGCCAGAGCCCCTCCTGAAGCACTGTAATACACATTCTGTTCCCTCCTGTGCTGGGAGGTCTCCTCAGCCACAAGGACATACTAGGTAAGGTTGCTCTCCCTGCCTGGGGGGAAAGAAAAAGAAAAAGAAAAAGAAAAAGAAAAAGAAAAAGAAAAAGAAAAAGAAAAAGAAAAAGAAAAAGAGAAAAAGAAGGAGAAAAGAACTGAAGATTCTTTTAGAAAAATCCCACATTGCAGATTCTTCAAGAATGAGTACTTGTTTGACAAAATGAGAAGGCCACATCATCAGTAGATTATTACAACATCTGGGATTTTCAGAAGCCACTTGAGGATCAGGGAGTTGGATACCTCTGGAAGTCTGTGTTAAATTTGCAGCTTAAACATTATTGGTCTACTGACTTCAGTGGAGCAATGCAATTTTCAGCAGCTGAGTCAATGCTGAGTGCCACAGAAAGCCTGTAGAGAAATGTAAATTCCTGCTCTGATAATAAAATGGATCTGAAATCATGAAACTGCAATAAAATTAATATGATTCTCATTTACTGTTTTAGCAGTTATTACATCTCAGTTTCTGAAAAATATCTGTCTTTTGTTTCTTGTGCAGTAGGATTCTGCCCTGGGAGAACCTTCTCACCAAGTTATAAATCTCTGAACCCAGAGAATTTCAACAGAAATATTTATTCATTCCTAACTAGTTCGGGTTTAACAGTAACCCTGTAATTAAATTGTGTTTTTTTCACTTTTCCCTTGCTGTTTGAGAGAGAATGTGCTCAGCCCGTTGGTATACAATGAGAACTAAGTGAATGCTAATCTATTCTAACCTCAGTGGATTTGAAGGAGAAAATAGACTTTGGTTTTTATAATTGTTTTCTAAAATAAGATTTTTAGGGGAAAAAAACACCTCAGCACAGTACTTTCACATCTTTATCCAAAATTTCAAGTAAAAATTCTTGTTTCATTACTGTAACACAGAATAGCAAATGCTCCTATCAGACTTTAATTGAATCACCTAATGCATGTCAAAATATTTTTTTTTTATGAAGTCTTCATTTATAAAGTCAAAGTTAATGACAGAATGTGCCTTCTGCTCTCACAAGCTACAAGTTGGATATATATGACATATTCTCTGCTACTGTCATCCCACACTAGGCTATCTGAATTACCACAAAGTTGAAAGTGCTCCTTTGAGGCCCCAAATAAGGTTGGCTTGCTCAAGTACTGTTGCTTTTTGTTGTTGTTTTCTTTTTCAGTGGACATGAGCCAGGCAATGGCTCAGGCATGAAGAGGAAGGCACAGTTACTGGACGTGACCCTGGTCACAGGGACACAAGAACCAAAGCAATGGTGGAAAGGAGTGGGAGTGCCTTCAGCTAAATTTGGAAAGCCACATTTGATGTTGTCCTGTCCCCGATCACGAGCTGCCCTGCAGAGCAAGACAGTCCATATGTTTTTTGGAAAAACAGTAGCACCAGAGAGGTGCAGACAGGCTGGGGGTGTGTGTGAAATGCACAGACACTCAGGTTTCCTGTTCCATTTGTTCAGAGCTGCACACAAAGACAGCACTTCAACCAAAGAATCAATATTGACCAAACGACCCGTTAGTTAGGGAAGTAGTGTGATGGTCACTTGGCCCCCTGACATACCCTGGCAATCAGAAAAGTTTGTTGATTTTATTTTTAATCCCCTCCCACCCAATGACAGATCCAGGAACACAAATTTTCCTTCCTCACTACAAAACCCTATTTTTGGGCTGCCAGGACAAGAGGATTGCTGTATAATTCCTGTGCATCCTTAATGCCAACCATTGTTCATTTAAAGCATTCAGACAGACAGAATTTAAAAGTAACATGGCTCTAGTAAAATGTTTTGTTATGCCCAGATCCTTACAAGTGGAATCATTAATTACTGCTTTAAGCACTTACCTCCATATTTTAAAAGTCAGAAAATGTGACAGTGAAAGTAAGAAGCATCCAATGGTGTGGTATCTATAGAGGAAAATCTCCATTATATGCAACTTGTCTACTCAACATAATACACTCTGGAAAACTTGTTAAAACTGGTACACTGAGACCAGAAAATGCTTTGAATAATCAGGATAAGTAAGCATATGAAAGCACAAATCTTCTGGGAATATTGGAGAAGACAGACAACACTGACCTTTGCCCCAGTAGAAAATTAGCCATTTTTTTCTTGAGCAAACTACAAGCAAAGAAAATCTTGTTCTAATACAAAAAAAGCAGGAAAGAGTGCATGAACCTTCTCTGCAAAAGCCAGGGAAAACATGAGGAGCAGAAAAGCACAGTCTTAACAGGGGCCTCAGAAGCTTTGACTCTCACACAGAATTTTTTAGATGCCCTGAGAGTGAAAGGCTCCAGGTGAGATTTTTTTCCCCACTAAGGTCAAGGACAAAACACCTTGTGATTTTGTCCTCAAGATCTTGATGTTCTTCAAACTGAGGTATTAACAACAGAAAAATCACTATGATCAAATTTATTTACATAACCCATGTATTTGCAACATATGGGTGTTTTCTTGTATATTAAAGATGCTTCAGGAACTAGATAATGAGCCACAACATTCATTTCACAGGGCACAGTGGTGTCAGCTAATAATAAGGTGTCTAGGAATGAAGCTTTCTGGGGGCACCGAGTTAACATAACTGTTTCTCGGGATGTCCTATCTGTAAATTGCCTTTTCCATTTGCAAAGCTTAGCAGTAGAATTTAAAGACAAATAAAGATCTATTGCAATACACAGGCTGTTTGCCCTTGCTTGTGAGTTCTTTCTTTATGCAACACTAACTCCATAACAAAAACAGTACCTTGCTGTATTGAGGGGAGTAAATTTTATGACTTCCTGAGATGTCTGGATCAATGCATAAATGAAACACTAAATTTAGTAAGTAGGGTCTTATTCTCTAAATGTACAGTATTTATTTATCTCTACACTGTCTTGCACTCAAAGAAGTTAGTAGAAGCTTTTCTACTAGGAGCTACAATGATGCAGAATAATAAATTCAGATCAAGGTCTTGATTAAAATTCTGTACAAATTAGTATTTCTTTTCTCTGTCTCATGATAACACAGAAGCCCAAGATGCTGTCTTAATTATCTAGAAATAATACTAATAAAGCAATGGAAAT